ATCGACAACGCCCCCTCCTGTCAGATGGGTGTCACCGACTGTTTTCTCCTAACCCCGGGTGATCGCCAGTATGGACGACCCACGGCATATCGTTCATTGGACCAAAGGTTGCCAGCTAAATCAATGGGTGCACAACGGGAATGAACACCAAGATGATAGAAAGTAAATCTGGACCCTTCATTCTTTTTTTTTAAAGTAGAAAATGTCTTCCTATCGCTCATGACGTCACGGCGACCAACATGTCGCCACCCCACAGAGAGTGGACACCAGGAAGTGCGTATTGCGTCAAGTAAGTTCCGAATGGAGAGCTAAAGCATACTTCTTTTCACCGGCAAACAGAAGTGAGCGAAACGAGGATACAGATGGAATATGGAGCTGACTCTTAGTATGTTAATACCCAGCTTAGGAGGGAAAAGTGTTGGTAAAACAGATTCTCATGAGGGGAGATAATTCATACAGTGTCTCCGTCTATCAGCTGGGACATATCCCTCTAAGATTCTGTTGGCCCTAGCAAACCGTCTCCTATTTAAGCTAAATTATGTTGATGGGAGCGTAAAAGCACCTACATTTTTAAATTTCAGAAAATAGCAACGCTGAAGAGATAATAAATAATAATATAAAGAGCAGACCACACACGAACAGCTATAGGCCATCGTAACCACCTGCAGGTGAAGCGGGAGGGATGAATAGGCTGCAGATATGGGAAGATTCTCTTCTAACGATAATATTATTACGTCTGGCTTTTTTGTGTTGGGGGGGGGGGTAAACAGTGCAGAAAAGAAGAAACTTTCCATATTGCATTATCATTATGCAGCCATAAGAATAATGAAAAAGAAAGCAAAATCAATGAAAGTCTATTTTATTTTCAACAAACTCTTCGACCAGATGGAGACCGGATAATGTAAACGATTAGACAGAACTTAATACCTGTAATGTTATGTACAGTTGTAATTATGTCGTCCCGTAATATTCAGAGGGTCCAACAGAATGCTATAGGTCAAAATCTCATTCCACAGAAGTGATACAGTTCAGTTTGCAAGAACATTGGGATTACTGTCCTTCCCCTGCAGAACCGAGCTCAGACAGCGGAGAAATACGCAAACTACTCAAACAACCAACTCAAGGCCCAGATTCGCCCTTTGGGTACTCGAACAACAGTTACCCGCAGCACTATAGCATGACGCATCCACCGACACACCGTCCCCTTTTCCAAAAAAACAAAAAAACAAAAACAAAACAACAGCAACAACAGCAACAACCATGAAAAAAACAAAAAAACAACAACCCAAAACAAAAACAAAAACAAACACAAGAAGAGAAGCCCTTGTAACAAGACTAGACAGAACCAAAATGTAAAAAAGACGAGACTAGGAGGCAAGAAATCTACCAGTAACAGTGTCGTGGGACGAAGCCATAACGATTTCCGAAAGCACAGGCCTGGATCAGGCTGCAGTAAATAAATGAGGAGCACAGAGAGACGCGTGCAGGATTAGCCGGCCGATAAGCAGTTGGGGATTTTTGCTGCTCATATTATGTAGGGTGCAGATTGTTCGCTCTCCCGATTTTTGCAGGATCAGGAGAATAGCATTTTTCCTTTCTGTAAAAAAAAATTTTGCAAGAGTTTTACGGCACTTGAAACACAAAGGTCATATAAGACTTAGTGTCCGAGATCTGAGATGTCACTTGAGATAACGCTTGAATACGCCAATTTAGTGAATAACAGCAATTAATACATATCGGTTGTTAAGTTCTTAAATTTTGTGATTTCTCATGACATGCGACATCGTTTTCTATTTTAATTTGAGACTTTAACTTCTCAGTATAATTCGACTTTAATACATACTGCTGGATGCCAGATGTGATGTGATGATAAAGAAAAGACAATAAGTGATCAGTCATTAGATTACAGTTAATTGAGACTTTTAGAAACAACATTAAAAGTTAATGCACATTTTTTCTTTAAGAATTGAACCCCCGCGGTTGTAGGTGCCACTGGTGGGTCCTTTCAAACTTCTGTATTTTCTGTCCCTCTATTGTTTCAGTCTGTCTGTTTGTCCAACTTTTTCACAGCACTAAATGACCATAACTGTGTCCATGGCCATCTCTTTACTCAAACTTAAACAAACAAGAACTCAACATTGGATCGTATTGTCAACCCGATTATATCCCAACTAAACAGACTCGACAAGACAAACAAATGTACACCCGACTTAAAAACAGACTCGTCGCAAGCATGTCGCGTGATTGACTCCCATAAAGGCGTGGCCGCGCTCGAGGTGAGTGTGTTCTCAGTGAGGGAGACAAAACGCCCCAAGAGACGATGGCTTACATTTCTCCGATCTTTATCACCCGTAATGTGTGATCACGTGGCTATGCTTAGCGGTGACTAGTGAGGAAATAGATCAGTGGACACATGGTGTGGAGAGGGTGGGTTGTGCATGCCGTGTGCATAAAGCAATCAGACTGGCGGAGGGATTAGGGTGGATTAGATTAGGTAACCCAGGAGAGATGAACAGAGATACGGAAAGACGGGCTGACAAACAGATGGACGGACTTATAATAAAGATCGAGATGAATTGATGGATGGATATATTCCTGGAAGAACGTTTAGATAGATAAACATCAATATTACGTACAGACAGACAGACAGACAGCGGACAGACAGACAGACAGACAGACAGACAGACAGACAGACAGACAGATAGATAGATAATAGATAGATAGATAGATAGATAGATAGATAGATAGACAGATAGATAGATAGATAGACAGATAGATAGATAGATAGATAGCATTCAAGTAAGAAAAGTAACTAGGTGCGTAGATAGGAAGGTAGGTAGGTAGGCGGGCAGGCAGGCAGACAGGTTGGTAGGTTGGCAGGGAGGCAGGAAGGTTGGTAAGTATGTAAGTAGGTAGGTAGATAGGTCGATAAGCAGGAAGAGAGGCAGGCCAGTCGGCAGGCAAGCAGGTCAGGCAGGCAGGCAGGCAGGCACAAGTAATAAAATATAAATGCGTAGCGAACCAGTCGCTAATACTAAGATCGAATAAAAGATGAAGTCCTTCGATCCTGGCTACTAGAGCCAAGCCGAGTTCTGCGAGATATTTATTACATCCCTGTAAATGAATTATCTTTCCAGTTGGGAATCGAACACTCGCCTTTGGGGTGTACATCAAAGGTATTAAAAGTTGTGTCATAGATATCGGTACAATCAGTGGGTAATATGTAACGTTGTAATAGCTACACCCCAAACACCACAGATGGATAGATGTGGTGACAGATGAACATTTCATTTTTATATAAAAAGGGCAAGACAGAGAGACCGAAAAGGGGGGGGGGGACATAACATAATATTAGGTTTGTTTTGTTGACGGAAGAGCAAGAAGACAAACAAAAACAGACAGGCACACATTCAGAA